CACACACACACTCACCTACACACACACACACACACACTGTGAAACTTTCACTATATCCTGACAGTAGAACATGACACAATTAATCTGTGAAAAAATCAGCTTCCTCTGGCCACTCTTAGTACTCCAAATTTGCAAAAATCCACTGGGCCTGAACAAAGGCAAACAATTAAGAGCCAAGAAAGATATAAAGACGCTTTGGGTTGGAGGCTTGATAGTTGAGTCTCATTCTCATTCCAGAGTCCCAAAGCACCTGTATTTGATGGCCTGGGAATGAAACTCAACAATCAACTACCTTCATCTGAAAAAAAAATTACCTAGTGAAATACCTAGTGCATCTTTTAAAGCGTATGAACACCCACATATGTGTTTTCAATTATTCTGGCTGATTAGACCTCTGCTCAGGTTGAAAGTGGGTGGAGCATTGATGATAATTTATTAGGTCACAAATCTACCAGTTTGAATGATAAAGTTATAATTTGTCCTACCCTAACAGGTGCAACACAGCCAACAGGAGTTACACACCAATACAGTCCAGAGAAGAGGTCTAATCAGAGGATGTTCAGAGGATTTAATAAAAAGTGATCGTCAATAATGTATCACCAGTTAATGATAATGTATAAAAACGTGGTTCATTTTAGTTGCCTTATTATTCTGAAGTCCTTTTATTTTGGTGCCATATTGATGCAGTTATTGATGGAAATGCCCAACATTTTGTTTCAAATGTCCAAAATGTGTTTTTTTAAACTTGTCCTTTTAGTGATTTTCTAACTTTGAAGTAATACATAAATGTAAAATTAAATCTCTGTTGGCCCTTAGTACCAGCAACAATGCATGTTTGGAAGAAATATTGTTCCTGTGAAGCTGATGTTATCCACTTGTTGTTGACTTTAACATCTAATGTATTTGTGCTTGAATATATCATCTTCATGCTGAAAAGGCTACCTAAATCACATACAAGTTGAAATGCATGTTAAATTCAAGAGCATGCTGTTTAAAGCTTAATATTAATGCTTATTATCTGTGTTTATTTTTTTCTCTCTGCTGGACATGATGATTGGTCTTCATAAAGGTAAGACCAAAAACCTTTTACTTCACTTTTCACACTGTCTGTCTGGCATAATAAGAAAATGTTAAAGTTCCCATGAAACAGAAATCAGATAGCAGTTTGCTTCCTCATGTTTAACCGTTTCCTGTAAAAACAGCTAGGGAGGAATGTTGATTGAAGTTTACGGTAGCTAATAGCGATACATGTGCATTACACCCCCACAGCTAGGTCTATGAGCTAGGGAATACAGAATTAAGGTGGTTTTCTTTCTGGATTTGGCTCCTGGCATCCCAGTGCTGAGTCAGGTTAGCTGCATGGCTGACCAAGCTAACAGCAGTAAGCGGTTCACTACTTAGGGCGTTTTCACACATACCTCATTTGGTCCGGACCTTCGGACTTTTCAGTTTGGTCCGAACCAAAATTGTAGGTGAGAAAGGTGCCACGGACCACGGTC